AGAAAGGGAAAAAAGAGTACCTGGAACATTCCAACGATGCAGACCTTGTCCTCTCGTGAGAAAACCCGATTTCCTATAGCCCGTGGTCGTCGTGGAAAAATGCAAATGCGCAAGTGTAACTTGTGCGGCGACGTTGCATCATCTAACACGCGAGGCTCACTCTTCGCGCCACGATACCAGATATATTCCAAAAGGAAATAACAAAACGAAACAAGAAGGTATTGGTGGTGGTGAGTACGAGTCACATCTCAAAGACAACCAAGAAAGAGACCTGTCCTTACCTATATGTACAACGTTGATCATCGTCGTCGTCGTCGTCTCGCCGAGATCATCGAAAACCGCAACCGGCTAGTTAGTTTATAAATAGTAAACGTAGTATCCCTGAAGCGGATCGTTGGCCTCCCGCGGAATCGTTACGTTTACGCTCGCGTACGCACCATACCGTGGCGTGCGTATCGCGTCGTTGCACCGTCACGCATTCCATGACACACACCGACTACTTCTAAGTAAGTAAGTAAGTAAGTAAGTACTTACGCGACCATCCACCAAGATACATATTACCTTCTTGCGAATCTAGCCTCTGTGGGGTTGGTCAATCACTATGTATGGAAGGGCAAGTTTTTTTTTTTTTTTTTTTTTTTTTAAATACGCACTGGAAATGGAAACGTTGTTCAAGCTTGTACATACTGCTACGCGAATTACTTAATAGCGGGAGGTTTTATCAGACAAATGTTAGATATTTGAATACTTTGTTGTTGAAGGTTTTAATGTCGAAAATATTGTCGAAGTATACCGTGTTTGGTTATGTAAGGTGTTTTACTGTTCAAAGTAATCTTCTATTTGGATGTTTTAACATTGATGAAATATTTTGCTGTTCGAATATTGTACAAGTATCCTGGTGTTTGAATATTTGCAAATTTCAACTTCTTCCCACGTTCTGCAATGTATCATCGCTTTACAATAGAGGAATTAAAATCAAGCTGTTTAAACTATTTAAAAGTTTCGAAGGAAATTAATTGAGGAATAATCGTAACGAAACTGCTACCCGAAATTCATGCATTTACAAAAATTCTAAAAATTCAGAAAATCCTACAACCTTCGAAATAATAACGCTACGATATTTAATGTCTAAAATTGTGAATTTCCATAACCATAAGCATGTTGATTCTTTGAGCGTTTAATCCGTGCTAGAGTTTCGAAATTTCCAACTTCATCTTTTTTTTTTAATTGGACCACATATCTTTTTCATCGTAAATCGAAAGAACATTAAATTTCAAGTAAAAAGAAAATATTAGTATTACATATTGGTTTTAAACCTAATAGATATTTATACAATAATTTTGTCTCGAGAATGAAAATTGCTTACTAATACTAATAATAATATTTAATATTGTTACTAAAATTAGACGAGAAGATTTTTATCAAAAAAAAAAAAAA